AGCTATCTACGAGGCTGTTGTTCCGAGTCAGTTGATTTCGATGATACATTCCTTTTGAATTTAGTTTCGCTCCGTGTGCCATCTTTAGCATATTGAACGAACTGTGCATTGGTTCCGATGCACGCTATCAACTCACGTTTTGCCTTCTTTCCCGACTAATTTCAGTGCACATTGTTTGATTTGGTTTTTCTACTGGGTAAGGGGGTGGATGCATTTTTTTTTCTTTCAAAACTCAAGAATATTGTAATATACTTGGGCCGAATTGGCTGCCGTTCCCTGCGTTCATACTTTGCGACTGATGACAGCCGGCGATTAGATACTTTGGTAGAGCGCGGTATCGCTTCCGTAATCGCTAGCAACTGGTGTCGATCGATAGCCACCCTTTCGTTTGCCGCACAATCACCGAGAATACCGAAGCATGGGATTGCTCAGTCTCCGCAGTTACCTGGTCAATACTTATTCTTTTCTTGTAGCGCAATATCTCAGATCGCCGAGCCCCCAAATCGCCGAATCTCGTTGGTCGCTAAGTATGAACGCGTCTTAAATCCTGACGCTCAGTGTGCTAGCAATCGATATAGCTACATATTTCAGAGGCGTTAGAAGGAGTTAATTTTGAAACGAATGGTGAAGAGCAGAAGGGTCTGCCAGTCGGTGTGGGCTCCGTTGCCGCCGGAGGAAGGTAGAACTTCGCTAAGGGATCGTGCTTGATTATGCTTTCAATCGTAATGTTTGATTCAGGTATGACGAGTTGGTTGGAAACTTCATGGCACCCAGTGGAACAAAGGGAAAAGAAAAACGTCAAGATGTGCCTTGTGTCGGTGTTTCGTTCGGTATCGAACGATTATTCGCCATTATGGAAGCGAAAATGCAGGTACCATCATTGACGACCCGGCCTAAATATGAATAGATTATATTAATATGAATATGAGTCAATATATTAATATAATATGCCGCGCTAGTGGGCGTGGCGAGCCACGCGGCGGGAAAGTTGTCCTGCGTGGCCGTTTGAGTATGGGTGTCAAAGGGAGAGGAAAAATCGATGTCAACCGTAATGGGGTCTTGTCTTCGCTGTGAGTTTCGCTGCGCCAATCGATAAATTGATGAATGTCGAGAACCTACCGCGCATGCTACACGATACGCTGCAGGCGG